AAGTGCTATTGAATCGATTCCGACTCATAGTGACCCTGTGTAGGGTTTCCGAGGAGCAGCAGGTGGGTTTGAACTGCTGACCTTATGGTTCACAGTCCAGTGCTGATCCTACAGCACCACACCAGATGTCCTGCTGAGGTGGTATCACATCAGGCACAGCTAATATGTATTTAATCACTTATTTTAAAATTCCTGCTCTTTCCCCCTTGCATTGCTGAGCCTTTATATTACTTATTCTAATGAAAATTGAAATGAAATGTTTAAACCAATTATTTATATTTAAGCTAGCAACAGGTTTGTGTTGATTTAATGCTATGCTATGATTGCATGGAATGGTTAAGAATGAGATTCACTCAAACCTGGTTCAGAGTCACTCTTTGAAATGTGGTGTCCTTATCCTTGGGGAACTTACAAATTTTAGTTAGCTACTGAGATTTACTATTTTTTATCATATGTACAAAATTAAAATCTAATATTTTCAGAGATAAAATGCCATTGAAGATGTTTATTCTTATTTGATGTTTTTAAAAGTGGAGGCAAATTGTTGGCTTTGAGAGACAGAGAGAAGAGGAAGGATTGGTAGATGACAAATGTCTCTAAGATTTGTTATTGTTGTTAAGTGCTATCAAGTTAGTTCCCACTCATAGAGACCCTATATGAAGCTTCCAAGGAGCAGCTGGTGGGTTTGAGCCATCGACCTTGTGGTTATCAGTCCAGTGTTTATCCTACAGTGCCACAGCAGGACTCCAACTTTAGCATTTGTTGTTATTAAGTGCATGGAACCAATTCAGATTCATAGAAACCCTGTATAGAGTTCCAAGGCAGAAAGCCTCGTCTTCTACCTGCCAAGAGTCGCTTATCATAGGGACCACCACACTCCCTAACATTACTATTTAATAATACTTCTTGTTGTTGTTAGGTGTCATTGAGTCAGTACCCACCGTAGTGACCCTATACACAACAGAATGAAACACTTCCTTGTCCTGAGCCAACCTCACACTCATTGCTATGTTTGAGCCCATTGATACTGCACTGTGCCAGTCCATCTTGTTGGGGATCTTCCTCTTTTTCTCCGACCCTCCACTTTACCAAACATAATATCCTTCTCCAGTGGCTGTTCCCTCCTGACAATATGTCCAAAGTATGAAAGACAAGTATGGCCATAATAATAATATTTAGGCACACTTAAATATTCCTTATTGAAGTTGTCAAGGACTTCATTCTTCTTGGATCAACTATCAACATTCATGGAAGCAGCAATCAGAAATGGACTGATATATTGCATTAGGCAAATCTGATGCACAAGATCTTTTTAAAGTGTTAAAGAGTGAAAATGTCAGCTTGAGGACTAATATATGCCTGACCAAAGCCATGATCTTTTCAATAACATCATATGCATGTGAAAGCTGGACAGTGAATAAGGAAGACCATAGAAGAATTGATGCTTTTAGGTTATGGTGTTGGAGGAGAATACTGAAAGTGCCATGGGCTTCCAAAAGAACCAACAGATCTGTGTTGGAAGAAGTACAGCCAGAGTGCTCCTTGGAGGCCAGGATGGCCAAACTTCATCTCTCATACTTGGGACATATTGTCAGGAGGGACCAGTCACTGGAGAAGGATATCATGTTTGGGAAGGTGGACAGTCAAAGAAAAAAAGGAAGCCCCCCCAGCAAGATTGGTTGGCAAAATGGCAGCATCAATGGGCTCAAGTGTGGCAACGATAGTGAGGTTGGCCCAGGACTGGGCCATGTTTTGTTCTGTTGTGCATAGGGTCATTATGAGTCGGTACTGACTCAATGGCACCTAACAATAACAAATATTCCCTAAGTGGCCCAATTCCAAAGTAGTGCAATGGTTAAATGCTCAGCTGCTGTCTGAAATGTTGACGGTTTGAACCTACCAGAGGCACCCAGGGAGAAAGTTCTGAGGGTCTGCTCCAATAAAGAAACCCAGAAACCCCTATGGCACAGGCTGCCTTTGTCATACAAGATTAGCCTGAGTTGGAACTGACTGGATGGTGCAGGACAACAAATGCTCTTACAACTCGAGGAATTAAAGAGAACATGTTTGATTGGGGTGATATGCAGCTTTCAGAGTCTTTTCCACAACTCTGGAAAAGGCTGGTGACTTGCAGTTCAGAGAACACACCCATCTCTCAGGGAGCTTTCGGATGTGCCTGTGAAAAGGAGAGGCGCCTCACAGATAATGTGCCGTACGCTCCCCAGCATGAATCACTGGTGTTTCGAAGCAACATCAATTTGGCCATAAGGTGTTTCCATGGTTTCCACACTTATCACTCTCTACCTTGGTAATGAGCAGCAATAAAATATGACCTGACTGGATTATAGCAAGAGAAGAAGCTGAACAAGACTTTTTACGGTTCCATCGTTTCTGAAACATTTGAATGACTCCTTTCGCTAAGGCTATACTAAAATTTACTAAGTGAGAGCTCATTGTCTTGCAGTGTTTCAGGAAGGTTCTGTGCTGCAATCGGATCAATACTGTGTGTCTGCCCTGTGTTCCTTGAAGAAAAAGATCTCCTCCTGGGAAATGAGTGAGGAAAGGACAGCTGGGGGGTGTTGGAGACAGGAGAAAAGTCAGTGAAGCTAACTCTCATAGAGCACACAAAGTCTGCATCACTGATGGATAAAGACCAGATGAAGCAGTCCGACACTGGGTGTTTAAAAAATCCAATTGCAATAGAAGAGATCTTCCAGAGCTGTTTGGAGAATAGATAGGCTGCCTATAACTGTCATCTCCTACCACTACACCAGTTGTGGTCTTGGTGACCCCGTGTGTGTCAGAGTAGAACTATGGTCCACTGGGTTTTCAGGGGCTGATTTTTTTTAGAAGTAGACTACTAGGCCATTCTTCTAAGGCACCTCTGGTTGAACCTGAACCTCTCCCCTTTCAGTTGCAGTGAAGCACATTGACAATTTGCACCACTCTGCTATTCCTTGTAGCCCCTTGGGACTGTGGTTGTTAAGTGCAGTCAAGTTGTTTCTGACTCATAGCAACCCTGTATAGGGTTTTCAAAGAGTGACTGGTGGGTTTGAACAGCCAACCTTGCAGTTAGCAGTCCAGTGCTTGCTCAGTCACACTGAGATCCTTTGGTCCAGTATTCAACGAGTTGCATCTTCCATGACCTGTGTGTGTTTTTTCATTAATGGTCTACATTAATAGACAGCATTTCCCCTTCAATCAAAAGTGCATGAAGATGAGGAGGCAGGTTTGCAGAATGTACCCTTTGCTTGTTTACATGATGATGTATTCCTGAGTGTTTTTGTGTACATCCCCCCCACTCAAAAACAAAAACAAAAAAACCACATAACCAAATAAAAACCCAAGGGGAATAGAGGCAAATACTGTTGAACGGTGATGCATGGAGGGGATTGTAATCATTGCAATGAAACGATGAGTGTAAAACTGATGTTCTCCCATATAAAGTATCAGTCAATTCACAATAAAAACTAAAAAAAAAAAGTGCATGAAGATTGGAAAAACGAGTCTTGTTACCAAACACCTATCCCCATTGCTCCAGCCACTCCAGTTCCCTCTCTCCTCTCTCCTCCTCTCTCCAATTCTCTCCAGTACTCAGATTGACTAGCTGCTGTTCCTCTGTGGAGAGAGGGCTGGACAGACTTTATCAATCTGCTGTCATGGGGACTGAAAGTGCCATAAAGTTTTGTTGTCACAAACGTTCTTTTGCTGAAAACCACCAGGAGCCCGCCCCCTCCTCTGTGGACAGTGCAGTCTGAAAACAGGCTGCTGGGGGCTCTTCCTGCTTCTGGTGCATGAAGCATGCATAGAAAATCTCAGGCAGAAATCCTTCAGATCCTGTGCTACCTGAACATGGGGGTAGACCCTCTAGTGACCACCTGTTGGAAGCCACATATTTCTCCAAAGGAAGACAAAGCGAGTATAAGAGAATGTAACAAGGTTAATGACCCTCCATGTGCAAGGACCATTAAGAACACATGTACACGTCCATTCTCAGATCTCGTAGAAACAAACAACTTGCTTTTTAGTTCCACAAATATTTCTTTCCAGAAAGAGAACACTTTTTGTTGCTGTTAAGTGCCATCAAGTCAGTGCTGACCCATAGCTACTCTGTATAGGGTTTCTGAGGAGCAGCGTGAACCACCAGCCCTGCTGTCAGTAGTCCAATGCTTATCTAACAGACCCAAATGATCTATTTCATCACTTTCTAGCTATGTAACCTTGAGCAACGTCCTTGCCCTCTCTGAATCACCAGTTCCTATTTATAAAGTCACAATAATAATCATTCCTACCATCTAGCTGTTGTGAAGCTTAAATAAGATAATGTATCTAATAATGTGACATATGATAAAAGCCTAATAAATGTCATTTATCAGTGTCATTATTTCAAGGGAACAGAGTAATACCTTCTCTGACTACTATACTGTTAGTGAAAATGACTCTTAAGAAGTGCTTTGCTTGCCACAGGGACTATTAAAATGTCTAGTCATATTATAAAGACTTTTGGATTCAGCCCAGAACAACATTGGCTCTGGAGGAGATGGTGCTGGGGTTTAAATGACAGCATGTCCATTATGACACCCACGTTAGGTTAGTCTGAACGTACCCTTACGCCCGTCCCTACACCAAATGGCACATCAAAACCAAGCAAGCGACACACTTTAACACGGATTTCTGAGCTCTGGGGGCTATTTTCATTATTTCTTTATCAATCATTTATAGAGGATTTATTGAGTCCTATATGTGAAATGTGGTAAGCAAGCTGCTTTGGGACTAGATGAAATATATAAAACACAGTCTGATGGCCATATACATAGAAAGAAAAGTCATTATGTACAAAAATAACCACAGTACAAAGGAGGTATAAAAACTACTATAAGTGTGATGTAAACCAGCTGGGCGGCAGGCAGTGCATCAGTGACCAGGCAATTCAGCTTCCTAAAGGTTCTCTGTGCCCCTTGGCCTGTAGGTGCCCGGCACATGCCTTCCCCACAGCCAAGATGCCCAAGAGAAAGGTCAGCCTGGCTGAAGGGGCAGTGAATGAGAGGTCCAAGAGGAGATTAGCGAGGTTGACAGCTAAACCTGCTCCTGCAAAAATGCAAAGTAAGTCAAAAAAGACAACAGCAGGAAATGATAAATCTACAGACAAAAATGTGCTAACAAATGAGAAAAGGGAGGCAAATGGAAAACAGGCTGAAATGGCTAACCAAGAAACCAAAGATTTACCTGCCGAGAAAGGCGAAACTAAAAGCAAGGGCTGTCCAGCCTCTGATGAAGCAGGAGAGAAGAAGCAAGCTCGGAATAGTGTTGGTCTACATAGTGGGTACGAATTGGGCTGTGAACCACAAGGTCAGCAGTTTGATACTACCAGCTTTCTACTCCCATAAAGATTTACAGCTTCAGAAACCCTGTTCAGGGTCGCTATGGGTCGGAAGTGACTCGACAGCTGCCTGTGAGAACTGTGTTCGTTCTGAGACATCTTTCTCATGGTTGTCCTATTTTCTTCATCACATTGTTATGTGCTATGAAAGGTTGAAACTTTGAATGTGTAGTGTGTGTGACGCTAACTTGTGAATTAGTAGGACATATGATTATCAACAATTGAAGATATTGATACTTGAAATTTTGGGTTACAAGAAAAGTTTAGTACAAAGAAAATTTAGCCTCCAAATTTAAAGTTGGAGCCACTGAAATTTAGAAAATATTTATAACTACATGAGTCTTAGATTTTTGATATGTACATTCAAGATTGTGTTCAAATTGTTCATAATGTCTCTGTGTTGTTGTTAAGTACCGTCGAGTCAGTTCTGACTCGTAGTGACCCTGTATATGATTTCTGAGGAGCGACTGGTAAATCTGAACCACCAACCTTGCAGCTCAAACAGATCTTGCACTCCAATGCTTTGACCCACAGCACCACACCAGAACTCTGTACTGACCCTTAAAACAAATACCAATTATGAAAGGGAAACAAAAGAGTTATGTAAACTGAGGCTCTCTGAGAAGGGGAACATCCCCTTATTTTCATAAAAATTACTATTTTTGTTTTTTAATAATTATTGATATTTCCACCTTTTCTTTTTGGAATTTCTGCAAAGAAATGAATACCAGGTGTTATTGGGTGTTGAGTGGGGTACAATGCTTTTATAAACATTCTCCATCCTTCTAAGCTGAGGCACCATGACACAGACATCTTCAGGTCTGCACACGGTTGCTGAAAACCCTCTCATTATACTTGTTGTTGTTTGTTGGTGTTAAGTGCCCTTGAGTTGGTTCTGACTCATAGCAACCCTGGATAGAGCTTCCAAGGAGTGGCTGGTTGGTTTGAACCATTGATCTTTCTATTAGCAGTCCAGTGCTTCTCCTACAACACCACACCAAATCTATTTGCTGTCAGCCGATCCCAGTTCATGGCGTCCCCAGTGAGCGAAGTAGAACTGGGCTCCATAGGGTTTTCAAGGCTGGGAGCTTTTGGAAGTAGATCTCCCAAGCCTTACTTCTGAGATACCTCTGGAGGGTTTGAACTACCAGCCTTTAATTAGTTGTTTAGTACTTAACCATTTGTGCCACAGTAGGTTGAATAGGCATATACTATTTTGACAAAATAATATACCTGGACCTTCAGCCACTTGGTGAAGGCTACCATTTCTGAGCAATAAAGAGAAGGTATGTCCATGTGCATAAGAATCCCTGGGATTCAGGAAAGAAAGGGAATGAGAACTGAGCCTTGCTATTGAAACTAGGACAGATTGTATCTGTAAGATTTCAAGGTCTACTGGCCAGAATGGACACTAAGCACTCTAAAGAAGAACTCATAAGAAGGGGGAGTTACATCACACTGGTGACTTTGGTACAACAATAAAAGGCTCCGAGTGTGAGGCAGGAAGGGCTGACTCAGATTATATAGTTCCAGGGCTCAGTATAAATCCTGGTACTAGCACTGTAGGTGCCCAGACTAGACTTTCAGTTTTCTCTTTCTCTCTACCGCCCCCTGTCTTTCATGTATGGAATGACCACTTTGGGATGATTATTGCATTAGGTAAATCCGCTGCACAAATCCTCTTGTGTATGTGAAAGTTGGACAGTTAATAAGGAAGACTGTAGAAAAATTGATGCATTTGAGTTACTGTATTGGAAAAGGATATTAAAGGTGCCATGGATTGTCAGAAGAAAAACAAATCTATGTTGGAAGATGTACAACCAGAATGCTTCTTAGAAGCCAATATGGCCAGACTTTGTCTCTCATACGTAACACATATCATCAGGAGGGACCAATCCTTAGAGAAAGACACTGCTCTTGGTAAAGTGGAGGGTCAGCAAAAAAGAGGGAGACTCTCAACAAGGTGGATTGGCTCAGTGGCAGCAGCAATTGTGAGGATGGCCCAGGTTCAGGCAGAGTTTCATGCTGTTTTACATAAGGTCACTATGGGTTGGAACTGACTCAACAGCACCTAACAACAACAACAACAACAACAAACCCAAAGAGTTCTTGAATGAATTCATAAAAGGAAGCCTAGATTATATGATAGTGGATGTTTCTAATAAAAAAAATATGTGGAAGACTCAAATTATCCATTGGTATTGTTGTTGTTGTTAAGTGCCGTGGAGTCGGTTCCGACTCATAGCGACCCTGCACAGGGTTTCCGAGACTGTAAAGCTTTACGGGAGCAGAACGCCTCATCTTTCTCCTGCGGAACTGCTTGTAGTTTCGAACTGCTGACCTTGCAGTTCACAGCCCAATTCATAATCACTGCACTAAGGGGTAGAAAATTGAACTGAAAAAAAAATCGCTTACATTGACTACATTAATATTACCAGCTCAACTGATCTGTAGGTATCTTCTGCTCCAAAATTCTCTAAGAGAATATTTTAAAGTGCTTATGTCCTTTATGGACTCCTCGTGTTGCACCATAGGATAAGCACTAGACTACTAACTCTGAGGTCAGCTGTTCAAATACACTTGTTGTTGTTGTTAAGTGCCATCGAGTCAGGTCCGACCCATAGCGACCCTGTACAGGGTTTCCGAGGGTGTAAATCTTTACGGGAGTAGAAAGCCTCATCTTTCTCCCGCGGAGCGGCTGGTAGTTTCGAACCGCTAACCTTAAGGTTCGCAGCCCGATTCGTAACCACTACGCTACCAGAGCTCCTTTCAAATACACTAGCTCCTCCTAAAAAACCCTATACAGGGTTGCTATGAGTCAGAACTGACTCAATGACATTTAACAACAACAACTTGTGCTTTATAGTTGATGGGTGCCATGATGAAATGGATAAGCATAAGAATACCAGGAGAGATGCTAAAGGAGCAACTGTGACTCTCCAAAGAGTAGTCTCTAGAAAGGCATTTCTCAACTCTTTTACACAGGATATTGTCCATTTTAGAGGAGACTGCTCCCAAGTGACAAAAAAAAGGGACCCCTTGTAAAGAGAACACTTCTGCTGGGAAACATGGTCTCCCTATGACCAAGAAGAGTTGTCTTTATGGCAGTATTCCTTAGGTCTCAGAGAAGACAGTCTTTTGAGCATTCACAGAAAACTGTGTGTAAGTAATAAACATATTAGGGGCCATCGAGTCAGTTCTGACTCATAGCGACCCAATGTGCAACAAAAAGAAATTCTGCCTGGTTCTATAGCATTCTCAGAATTGTTAAAACAACTGTGACAGTCCAATTTATTGAGGAATTGACAACCTATTCTTCTTTTCCACTGACCAAGCATAATGTCCTCATCCAGTGACCAGGCCTTCCTGATAACATGTCTAAAGTAGATGAGATAATGTCTCGCCATCCTAGCTTCTAAGAAACTTTCTGGTTGTACTTCTTCCAAGATCGAATTGCTGGTTTTTCTGGCAGCCTGTGGTATATTTGATATTCTTCGCCAACACCATGATTCAAAAGCATCGATTCTTCTTTATTCGTTCTTGCTCATTGTTCAGCTTTTGCATGCATTTGATATGACTAAAAATACCACGGCATGAATCAGGCACATTTTTCTTCAAAGACGCATTTATGCTTTTTAAAACTTTGAAAAGGTCTTCTTTCACAGATTTGTTCAGTGCGATACATCGTTTGATTTCTTGACTTCTGCTTTGACTGTTGATCCAAGTAAAATGAAATCCTTGAAAATGCAATCTTTTCTCCATTCATCATAATGATGCTTATTGGTCCAGTTGTGAATACTTTGCTCTTGAATACTTTACAGAGGCCTTGTGCAGCAGATTTGCTTAATGCCATACATTGTTTGATTTATTGTCTGCTACTTCCATGAGTGTTGATGGTTGATCTGAGCAAAATGAAATCTTTCACAACTTCAAACTTTTCTCCATTTATATTGATGTTGTTTATTGGACCAGTGGTGAGGATTTTTGTTTTCTTTATTGAGGTGGAATACTTATTGAAGGCTGTGGTCTTTGATCATCGTCATTAAGTATTTTAAGTCCTCTTCCCTTTCAGCAAGAAAAGTTGTATCATCTGCATGTCACAGGTTGTTAATGAGTCTTCTTCCAATCCTGATGCTGTATGTTCTTCTTCATATAATCCATCTTCTTGTGATAGGATAATATCCATATGACTACAAGGAAGACCAGTTAATACCAGTATTATTTAAATTTATGCTCCAACCACTAAAGCCAGTGATGATGAAATTGAAGAATTCTACCAACGTTTTCAATCTGAAATTGATCAAACATGCGATTAAGAAGTATTGATAATTACTGGTGATTGGAATGCAAAGGTTGGAAAAAAACAGGAAGGATCAGTAATCGGGTTATCACAGTCAGCATTGTACTTCAAGACAGATCTTAGTTTGTCGTTTATGATGATGAATGACATGCCATTCCTGCTCAGTGTGTTATTGCCATCATAGTAAGCAGAGTGATTGTCAAATTCTAAATGGCCAATGCTAGTCTATTTCAGCTCACCAATACCTAGGATATTGATGTTTATAGATTCCATTTCATTTTTGACAATTTCCGATTTTCCTAGTTTCATTCTTCATGCATTACATGTTCCAATTAATGGATGTTTACAGCTGTTTTTCTTCATTTTGGTTTGTGCTCCATCAGTAGATACAGGTCCCAAAGACTTTTTACTCCATTTGCATCATCACAATAAACTCTACTTTGAGGAGGCAGCTCTTCCCCAGTCATCTTTTGAGTGCCTTCCAACTGGAGGGGCTCAAGTTCTGGCACTCTATCTGACAATACTCTGGTGCTCTTTATCATGTTTCAATAGTCAACATTGTGGTGCTGACAGTGTTCCACTGTTATTCATATGGTTTTTAGTGAGCAAATATTTGCAAATAGTCTGTCTCTCCTTCTTCTTA